AATTTCGCCAAAATTCTTTCGTCCATCGACGGCGGGGTATATACCCTTCCGATTGACTTTCAGAAATAGCAGCTCTGGTCCGCCCCGCAATTAGTAAACATTCATTGGACTTGAAGGGAAAATCAACAGCCAGAAAACTTTGCTCATGGCAAAATACGTTACTCTCTCTAATGGTCAAAAACTGTGATCGATAACTTCTTCCATATGCCGAACAGGTTTGTATGGTGGAATACTTTATTACGCCTGGCGTTACCCAGGTTACAAGAAAGGCAAACATGGAGTCTACCACAGGATATACAGCCAAATCCCGTTGTATTTTACACAATGGCTGATGAGCCCTGTTCCCAGAAGAGCAGAGGCAAATGGCTAAACGAAATTAACGGCAGTCCCCGCCCTCCAGCAATTCGTAGGCATCCTTCCTTGTATAAGTAGTCTGACCCCCAGGCTTAAGACTATCTCGTTTTCGTGGCACCACAGGGAGTAGAGAAGGCGCAGCGGCCCTCATAAGTGGCAGTTCTGACGCCTCCTTAGTTGTCCCGCCCACCATAACTGAAGGGCTACTTTTCATCACGACAGTTCAGTTCTCACCCAATGTTTTTCGTTTTTTTTTCACTGTTAGATGGTATAAGCATTGGATGACGCGAAGAAGCGATTGAGCCAGAGGCGGCAGGATATCGCTTTGCTAGCACTGAACCAACGAGCAGGTCAGGAGAACTCGTTCAGTGAGGCTGCCGGGGGGGGGGCTTACGGTTGCCTCAGATTTTACCTTTTTTCTTCCCTGGAGGGCCATTTAGCGACCATCGGTTCGTTATTGCAAGCCATTACTCACATTATGCAATCGCGGGGTTTTTCTTCGAGGAAATCTGGAGCAAATCGTGCAGTAAATCGAAAGTTGGTAGTTCCGAGGCTATGAAAAGGTGATTCCACTTCAGCAGTGTGAACGCGGAAGCATCAACTAGACGAACCCACGCGGCGTGTTTGTACAAGACGTAATTGTTTTTGCACTGGCCGTTCTTTTTTGCACGCACGCACGACCTGTTGCCAGGTGCGGTCAATCCCATTAGCCAACGATTGTTCCTATGAACACAAAGCATCATTAAAGAACCACTGCTCTGGCGTAATATTGATCGACGTGAGGAAAGCACATTCGGGAGAAAAACAGGCTCAAGGACATTTCTTTACGATGACCTTTGTGTCACCACACGTTCTCGAGGAACGATTATTTGCTAAGGAGAGATGATGGATGAGATTGCCGAGCAGATGACTGAATCACTTTCGTTGCACAAAATTAACTCGAACGGAATTTTTGACAAAGTAATTCAGCGTGAGAAGGAGATTTGAGAGGGAGCCAAGAGATGAGACTGGGAATGTTTTCAGAGGACGGCGCGTAGTGACGATCATTCGCGGCCGAGGTCGTTCGACTGCGAACACCGACCGCCCAGTAGATCTCCGAATGTAAGAAAGCCAGCCAATGGACTAGATCTAACGTTTTTATTTGAGCACAAAACATCTATAGAACAGCTATGATCATCACGCTACAGATACTGTCCCATTTTCATCTAACACCCTTTTTCAGTTCCTTTTTCTCATCTTCTAGCACTTCATCTTGGACCTCATGCTTCCGCTCCTTCGTCACGTCCTCTACTCGTTTTTCTTGAATTCCTCGACCGTCTTCCAGCAATTTCTTCTCCAATGTCTCCCATTCCTCATCGAACTCGTTAAAGAACTTCAGCCGCATTTCC